TTTTAGACAAAAAAGAAGAAAACCTACCTAATCTTTCTTTTTAATCAACTTCTAGTCATTCCATTAGCTAACCGGGAACAGGGAAACAGGAGATTATCAAATTACCATGTACCTGTACATTTATTGAGTACAGAAATGACTTCTAAATCTGAAGAAATGGGTTTGGAAAATTACAGAATCCACATGAATTTAAGGGCTGCTCACTGAAATTCCTGCTTTAAAGAATGTTTTCCCTATCTCCATATTGAACTTTTTAATATTAAAAGAAATCAGCTTAGGGAAACTTTTTATTTTAACACAACCAACTATTTCCTCTTTGCCTGACACAAAACTACTACCTTAAAAAATACAATGACATATTTTGACAGTTAAATAAAATGAATGAATAGCTTCCTTCGTATTTATCTATTTTTAACCATTGGATAACTACTAATTTTGAGTTTTTAAAGACATGAAATGTGTCCACTCTAGCTGCCTAAACACTACATAGAATGATTTATTTTTTTCAGGTTATCTACAATGGAAAGGAACTGCTTTAGAACTAGACAGATTAAAATGATTTCTAAAACAACTCAACAGGGAAAACTTTATAAAAAAAGAGAGACAGAAAGAACAAATATAAAACTCACAAGTCTGGATAGTAGGTCAATCCATTTGTTTCCAATGTCAAATATATTATTGGTAAAATGTCAACTAATTATAAAAATAACTTATGTAAGCTTTACATGAGTTAGTGAGAGACGGTATCAGAAAGAAGACTAAGAACCATCTAGAATCTTCAATATCATCTTCATCCCACTTTTTGGCAATATACACTATTTTCAATTATAAACTTCCAGAGGGCAGGAGCAAAATTCAAATTCATTCTTCATAGTATCTGACAAAGAGAAGTGCTGAATGACGGCAGCTACAGAACTATAATTTCACACAGATACAAATAAATATATTCAAACACTGCCAAAGTGCTCTGAGTTTTCTCAATTCCAACACTAATTATGCCAGCAACTCAGCACTGCTATTGTATCCACACATGGCAATAAAGTGACACTAGACCGAATTCCAAAAGACCACTTCCTGGATCATGCTGCCTTTGCATTTCTTCTGGAAAAGCCTCCTTTGTAACACACTTTGTAGCTGTGACAGTAATGTGCCACATCCCACAGACTATCATGTCTTCAATTTTTAGTGATTTACTTTGACACTTTGCCTTAGTGCCTAAGCCAGGCCATACATCTTCCTGAAATGTGTCACACTTAGGTTCCTTTAAAAAACTGACTACATTTAAATCGCACAAAATTATGATTTTCTCTTTTCCAAGGGAGACAAATGACAGCTCAGTCATGTGGCAAATAAAACAAACAGCAGAATCATTTTCTAACCAACTTTCAGACTTTTTTTTTTTTTTTAATCTCCCATATGAGGCACAGGGGATCGAATGGAAATGGATCATACTTCTCCTGTTCTGCAAAAACACACAGTTCAGCACCTGACCTTGGGCTTCCGTAACTCTTCCCGTGTTCTTGGAATCTTTGACCATTCCTTCTTTCTTTTTAAGTTTATTTATTTATTCTGAGAGAGAGAGCATGCACAAGCAGGGAGGGGGCAGGGACAGAGAGAAAGAGAGAGAACACGAGAGAGAGACAGAGAATCCCAAGCGCAGAGCCTGATGCACGGTTTGAACTCATTAACATGAGATCATGACCTGAGCTGAAATCAAGACTCAGATGCTTAACTGTCTGAGTCACCCAGGCACCTGACCATTCCTTCTTCGCACCTCTCCTACCCTCTCTTCCTCAGATATCTCAGAAGGACAGGTGGCACTCAAGGACTTGTATCTGCTGCTTCACTCTGTAACCCTGATACCCTCACTTACTTTTCATTACTTCAGTTACTGCCTTCTCTCTGGATGGCTCCACACTCTGGTTTCCATCCTGATCTCCTACCTAAACTCCTGACCCACACGCCTGCTGTTCTGCTCCCAATTAGAGCTATACTATTCTCTTTCGGGGACCTCCATCTCAGTATGTTGCAAATAAAGGTCTTGAGTTCCTGTTACACTGAAATCCAGTAATGGTGTCAGTACCTTCTATAGACCATGACTCTGCAAACCCTGAAATGCCCTGACACCCTCTCCCTTTCACCCTCTGCCAGTTATCAACTAGCAAATCCCTCCAGTCATTAGTTTTCCCTCCTCCTTACGAATCCCTCTTCTCCCTCTTCTCTCCTGCTACCACCACCTGCTGGTTCAGCACCCATGATCTTTTGCCTGAACTATGTACTTGTCCCTGTTCACTTGATCCTTGCTTCTGCCTTAGATGTTATCTAATCTGGGCCTATCTCCTAGGTCCCACAAAACAGAAAATGGTCTGACAGCACCCTACTCTATAAAAAACAAACATTAAATGTAACATTTTGAGAATATGAGGAACAAACAACCAAAGGAATCAGAAAAGGTTTCATGAAAAAAAGTGACATGTGGACCCAAACTGACTTTAAGGACATTTCCAAATACTGAATGGATAGCTCATAACCTATTCCATTTAGACTCCATTATGTTCCCTAAACTCCATCCACACCTTTGATGCTTATGCATATAAGTTCCTTCCTCCCTACCCCTGATAAATAGCCACATGCCTAAATCCTGTGTGGCTTCTAAGGCCTGGCTTATATGCTTGCTAGTCAAGGAAGCCTGCCTTGTTCATCATGACAAAGGGTATCTCTCCCTCTTCTGACACCACTTTCCTTTGGCTTCTCTGTTACTGCCTATTACAAAAAAAATTTAACTAAGAATACAAAAGAATATGTATAATACACATGTTTGGCCTAAAGAAGAATAGTAGAACCAATCCCCGTTAATCCGTTACACAGCTAAAGAAAGAGACTGTTACTGGCATCTTGAAAATGCCTTGGGAAATATCCTTAATTGCCTCCCCTCGTGATCACAGGGAGAACAGCTAATCTTTGCATTTTGCTTTCAGTTTTCAAAAGTATATGTATCCCCAAATCATGCAGCATTTATTTTTTCATTATTTCAAACTATAAATAAATGGAATCAAACTGTACTATATTCTTCTCCACTTGTTTTTGTTCATTCAACTTTACAGTCCCGAGGGTCATCACGTTGCTGATGTTTGCTGCAATATCGTATCACATTTAGGAATATGCCAAAATTAAACAAATTTTAACAGTAAGAAGTGCTGCCATAAATCCTCTTACACCAGCTTTCTGGTGTACTCTTGTAACTCTTATATTTTTATTATTTTTAAAAGTTTATTTATTTGAGAGAAAGAAACAGCATGTGCGTGGGGGAGGAGCAGAGAGAGAGGGAGAGAGAGAGAACCCCAAGCGGGTTCCATGGTGTCAGTGCAGAGCCTGACTTGGGGCTCAATCCCATGAACCATGAGATCATGACCTGAGCCCAAATCAAGAGTCAGACGCCTAATCAACTGGGCCACCCAGGCACCCCTACTCCTGTAACTTTTATACTCAAATCATTCACTCTGTATATCCTAGGAGACTGCTCTGTGCCAGAAGTTGAATGAGGCTGGAGGTGGAGAAGAAAACAGACTCATCCCTCACATGAAAACTTAGCTCATTTAGAGAGACAGGCAGTAAGTAAGTTAATAAATAGAATATCAAGAATTATGACAAGTGCCACACAAGGAAAGAACTGAATCTAGGCAACAGAATATCAGGAGTGACCTACTTTAGAATGAAATAATCATTAAAAGCCCCATTAAAGATAGGCAATAGTTGGGCTGGAAGCCAAAGGAAGAGAAGGCACCTGACGTGGGACAAGAATAACATTGAGAGCTAAGACAAGGGGTCTCCAGGCAGGAAGAACAGAATACAGGGCTGGCCATTCCAGTCAACCACTAGAGCTGATGGCAGGAGTCTTCTGTGGTGCACAGTGAACGGAGGGGACAGAATAACAGGCCAAGGTAAAGACCATTCCATTCTGAGGGCAACAAGAATCTGCTGAAAGCGTGTATCCATGTGTAACATGCTATCTCTGAATGTAGGTTCCTCGAGTGTGGGAACCAAGTCTCTTTACATGGTCTTAGCTCCTACACAATTGTGGAGCCCAACAAGTGAATGAACAGTGACCGAGCAGTGACAGCACGCCCTCTACATTAGGTCCTTATGCTGGGTAGGGGTTTACCCAAAATGGGAGGACCCCTGACCTGAAGCCATAGACAGCAGGGGCGGGACAATCCTCTTAACATTATCTCTTACACAAAGGCAAGCATATGGTGCTTAGGTGAGAAACAGTCCTTATAGGCAGTCATAAAGTTCTGGAGAAATTGGAGGCAGGTGGGATTAGCTTGTAAACGTTTCCAAAAGAAGTAAATTTTTAACAGTGTCTGGAGGAATAAAGGGTTGCAGACCACTGCAGAGGAAGGGTCAAGGCATTTCAAGTGAACAGAAAGGACAGGAGAAGGAGGAACAGATTAATCATAAACAGGTGAGCTGACAAGTGGTGTAAAGGCCCCGGGCTGGAGAGCAGTGGGGGCAGAGGCAGTGGGGAAAGTGAGGCCAGGTGGCTCCAAACACACCAGCTCGAATATTTATAATCCAATGCAATCTGGCACTTTTCTAAGTGCACATTTCTAAATGTCATGTAGTTTAGAAGCAGGAGGTATTCCTCTTCTGCTCTTCTCAGATTTGAAGGAATGAACTGTAGGAGGGAGTTTTTTCCTGAGAATTCAAAAGAACCAACAGAGGAAAACACCAAATGTGCTGGTACGTTTATCCAGCCAGAAGTACTACTGAAAACTCGGACCACGTTCATCATGACAAAAAGCAGTCTTTGGTCAACGGAGATTTTGCCCCTGAGTCATTTGTCCTCATTTTATAGCTCATCAGGCCTGAGAAGACCTTCCAGATCCGTCAGCTGGATACTGGGCATGCAGCTGAGCCCCTTTCAAAACTGCTATCACCATGGACTCACTGAGATCACTGAACGTCCCCTCTGTGTGTTCCTAATTCACTTCCTATTCCCCTCTGGCTCAACATACAGATCACTGGCCAGGGTGTGTTGGCTTTGCTTTTTTTGTACTGGTGATTCTGCACCACTTGCTTCCGTTATCTGGGCTCTGTGGATTATGGGCATCAAAATCACCTCGGGTTTTCTTTCATCCATGAATCTGGAGGTGTGTTTTTAGCCCTTGAGACTTCTCTTCCACACATCACTTAAGTTTTCCTTATTTTATTTATTTAAGTTTTTAAAGTTTATTTATTTTGAGAGAGAGAATTTGCACAGGGAGGGGCAGAGAGAGAGAGAGAGAGAGAGAGAGAGAGAGAGAGAAAATCCCAAATAGGCTCCATGTTGTCAGCATGGCGCTCAACTCAGGGCTCTATCTCGCAAACCGTGAGATCGTGACCTGAGCCAAATTGAAAGTCAGATGCTTAACTGACTGAGGCACCCAGGTGCCCAAGTTTTCCCTACTTTAAAGCTTTGCATTGCTGTGGGGGTTTTTTTGTGTTCTTTTTTCTGAATCATTCTATACTTCTCTTTCTTCACCTCTCCTCATGTTACCAGCTCAAAATGTAATTCTAATTTCTACTGACTTTTAAAGAGTTTTTAACTTTCATATATCATTTTGCAAAGAGTAATATTCAAAGCTTCACTGAACTGCCTAGACAGAAAACAATTATTAACAAAAAGTAGCAAACAAGAGTATTTGGAATTATTCAAATTACTCTGCCTTAAAAATATAGACAAAGGTCACTTCTCATATTAACTATCTGACAAGGTCTACACGCTCTTTAATGTTTTGTTATTTTGAGACAGAGAGAGACAGAGCATGAGCGGGGGAGGGGCAGAGAGAGAGGGAGACATAGAATCCAATGCAGGCTCCAGGCTCTGAGCTGTCAGCACAGAGCCCGACGTGGGGCTTGAACTCACAAACTGCGAGATCATGACCTGAGCCGAAGTCAGACCCTTAACCAACTGAGCCACCCAGGCACCCTACATGTTCTTTAAATAAACTCAATCATCAAAACTACAACCACAAAGAGAATTTAGATAGATTAAATCTATACTTTATTATTACAAGTACTCATATTTCTATTTAAATTTAGGTTGTTTGGGTATGTGTGTTGGGGGTAGGAATAACCCTTTAGTAAAATGGCTATCACAGAATATTACTCTGAACAAACTCCCTGCAGGAAAAGTTCATGTTGCTAATACTAATTGTCTCAAGACATATTTAAATAGAGACTTTTATCTAATTTTCTTGGTGCCAGTTCAAATTTGGAGATCAAGAATGTTATTTTTTAGTATTTCTATATTATGTGATTTCATTGAATCAAACTGTTTAAAATCCTATACTTGCAGAAGAAACACTTTTAATTTTTTATTTTTTAGTTTAATTTTTGAGAGAGACACAGAAAGAGAGAAAGAGAGAGAGAGAGAGAGAGAGAGAGAGAAAGCATGCGTGCACAAGTGGGGAAAGGGCAGAGAGGGAAAGAGAAAGAATCCCAAGCAGGCTTTGCACTGTCAGCGCAGAGCCTGATGCAGGGCTTGAACTCGCAAACAGTGATGTCATGACCTTAGCCTAAATCAAGAGTTGGATGTTTAACCAACTAAGCCCCCAGGCACCCCTCGAATCCTATACTTCCAAATGAATACAAAGTACTAAGAAGGAAATGATCTACTACTTTGATTTGTTGATTTAATCCTTTTAAATTGGGTGGCAGCATAATTTTTGAAAAAGCTTTTTATGTTACTCCTGTATTTTGGCTAATTTTGTTCTCCAACTGAGAATGGCATATGTTCATTTGTTTTACTAGCGCATGCATGCTGATGGGGCAAATAGTAGAGCATTTACAGAAACAGAGCCAATTCCTTGAGTGTGATACACCGAATATCAGATTTACTCTCCAAACACATCCCCATCTTCATTTATCTCTGTCTCAAAACAAAAAAACAAAAAAACAAAAAACAAAAAACCCCGCAAAAAAACCCACAAAAAACAACAAATGCAATCCAAAGTTCCGAGTGATTAACTTTGGTAGAATAACTCACAACATAGAGCTTTTTGTAGTCTTCGGATTTTGATGGCTGTACGGTAGGCAGAGAAACGTACATTATTCAGGTCAGCTGAAATGGGAAAGAGAACACATTCAAAAGCATGCTTATTAGTTAACTTACATTGAATGGCAAGAATGTATTTGTTTACTTCAGATGATGGAAAAGTATTATGTCTGTTCTCATTAAAAACTCTTCTCTCAAAATCCACAGCATTTATTTAAGAGAATAATTAAATGTTCATTAGCACCATAGTGAGAGACATTCCAAAGCAGTGCTACATGGCTTTCAAGAAAGCATTATCCAATAGCAAAAGGAGGGAAATGAGGAAAACGAAACATGGCCTGTTAACTTTTGAAGGCTTAAATCCATCACACTGTAGGCTCAGGGCCCTTCCTTCTCTACTGCTGGGAGGGATTCTCCTCCAGAGGCACCTTCCTCAAGGACAATCAGTTTTCTGTCAATAAGGCTGTGCCTCTCACTACTCATAGAGCTAGTCTTATTTCTTCCATCCGGATCTATCTGCTTCTTCTACCCTTTTATAGATATGGTTAAAATTATCCTATAGTCCATATTCAAATCTTTCGAAACAAGAGGTTAACTATAGTTAATAATACTGTATTGTATATTTGAAAGTTGCTAAAAGAGGAGATCTTAGGAGTTATCACAAGAATGAAAAATGTAGGGGCGCCTGGGTGGCGTGGTCGGTTAAGCGTCTGACTTCAGCCAGGTCACGATCTCGCGGTCCGTGGGTTCGAGCCCCGCGTCAGGCTCTGGGCTGACGGCTCGGAGCCTGGAGCCTGTTTCCGATTCTGTGTCTCCCTCTCTCTCTGCCCCTCCCCCGTTCATACTCTGTCTCTCTCTGTCCCAAAAATAAATAAACGTTGAAAAAAAAATTTTAAAAATGTAATGATGTGAGGTGATGGATGTTAATTAGACTTACTGTAGTAACAGTTTCACAATACAAATATTGAACCAATATATTGTATACCAGTAACTAATATCATGTTATTTGTCAATTATATTTCAATTAAAAAAAAACTTAAAGATTTGGTGTCAAGTTAAAAAAAGATATTGTAGGGGTGCCTGGGTGGCTCAACATCTGACTTCAGGTCGGGTCATGATCTTGCAGTTTGTGAGTTCAAGCCCCACATTGGGCTCTGTGCTGATAGCTCTGAGTCTGGAGCCTGCTTTGGATTCTGTGTCTCCCTCTGTCTCTCTGCCCCTCCTCTGCTCATGCTCACTCTCTCTCTCTCTCTCTCAAAAATAAACATTGATTTAAAAAATTAAAAAAGAAAAGGTATTGTAATTTCTTTCTGTCTTCTAAAGACACAGTATCTGTATTAGAAACTAGCAGAACTGGAAGAAAACTCAGAAATCATCAAAGTTTGTACCCTCACTTTACAAAGGAAAGAAACCCATGGCTTTTCTCTCTTTTGTTCAACCTTTGTAGCTGCTCTCACTCATCCAAATGAAAGCTCATGAGAGAAACCTAAAGAAATGAAACTAAAGAAATCAAAAAGCGTGCTCCCCATATTGAAATGAGTTGGTGTGAGAGCCTTAGGGCCTCATTTTCCCTCTCCAGCACTGCCTCACCTACCCAAAAAGAAAACTCTTTCAAAGAAAGCAGGCTAGAGAATCAGTTCAACATCATATTCTACTAGAAATCTACAAGATCAGGATTCTCATCTCATGTGTTCCTTACATTTTTTAATTTACTTTTTTGATGTTTTATTTAGTTTTCAGAGAGAGACACAGAGCATGAGGTGGGGAGGGACAGAGAGAGAGGGAGACACAGAATCTGAAGCGGGCTCCAGGCTCTGAGCTGTCAGTACAGAGCCCGACATGTGCTCAAATCCACAAACTTTGAGATCATGACCTGAGCTGAAGTTGGATGCTCAACATACTGAGCCACCCAGGCACCCCTTCTTACACTTAAAAAAAAATTTTTTAACGTTTTTATTTATTATTGAGAGACAGAGCATAAGCATGGGAGGGGCAGAGAGAGGAGGAGACACAGAATCCAAAGCAGGATCCAGGCTCTGAGCTGTCAGCACAGAGCCCGACGCAGGGCTTGAACCCAGGAACCTTGAGATCATGACCTGAGCTGTAGTTGGCTGCTCAACAGACTGAGCCACCCAGGCGCCCCTTCTTACATTTTTATATTAAAATGATTTTAGCTTTTCATGACTACTTTGGCAAAATGCAAGTAGGCAAGCTAATTTAGTACGATTAACTACATTAAATGTGAGTTAAAAGGAAACTTAAAGGGTGAATTCAAGGTGGCTGTGCTGTTATTGTTTTTGTTTTCAAACAAAGCTGAAGTTTAAGATAACTCAATAGGAGGGAGGCTGTGTTCTTCCTTTTAAAATCAACCTCATGCTACTTCAAACCACGTGTTCCCTCAAGAATGGTAAAAAACTGTTTCCTGCATCTCCCTCAGAAATTCAACTGTTTTTCTGTGTCAGTGAAACAACCCTTTAAACAAACCATGCTGTGTAAGAAAAACTGGTGGTTACTTCCCTTTTAAGAATATACGACTATAGGTTATTTTGGCTAATTAAATAAAATTGCACTCACCAAGGGACTGGAAGAGTTCAGTCATTTTAGGATGATCCCAACAGGTTGTCTGTGTTTGATGGCTGGGGGATAAAAAAAATAATGTATGTCCCATAGAACATATGCAAATAGAATTTTTATTCTAAGCTTTCAAAATCACACAAAATTATCCCCATGACGGCTCATTCTGAAACCCAATGTCCAATTATTACTTACCATTTGAAACAATAAGATATTTTTATGTGAGCAGTGACGTTGTAAAATTATGAGTAAAGAATTTTGTTTTATCTATTTTGAAAAGAATTACAACTAAAAATTAAACCTAGATATGAAGTGTGTGACCCTGGGGCCGCAGGCTTGATGTAGCCGGCTGGATCAATGCAGTTTCCAGAATAATTCTACTTGTGTTAGGCAGATATAGATCCTCATTCAGAATAAATCCTCGGAGAGCAGAAGTGCTGTAAAGAGTTGCTAAACTTTAGAAGTCCTAATCAAATTTCCAAAGAACAGAGAAATGAAGTGTTTAACTCTGAATAACATGTTCACCTCACAATCAAGTGAAGCGCCCTCCTCTTTAACCTTGAGTCTCTCCTTCCTTGGTGTAAATTAGCCCTTTTCCCCTGTGGGGATTCACTCAGAACCCTAGAGTTGACATAAAGATCATTTTAAGCTAAAGACATCTGAGATTGAACAGATACAGAAAGGAGCCTTTTTGGAGCTTCCTTTATCGGACTGAACGCAGCACCTTCTGGGAAAGAGGGCTACCATAAATCCTCTCTCTGGGGGAGTTTCACGGCTATGAAGAAGACAGAAAAACCACCTGCACCTGCATAAACAAACATCATCACAAACTTTCTTATCGCACATTTTCCCCCCCAAAAGCCCATTTATCTCTCCTAAAGAAACCTATTGGTTCCTCACAAAGGAGCCTTTCTCCCCAATTTCCTTCCACTGCTAAAGTTGGGTATATAAGCCCCAAATTCCAACCATCCTTTTGAGTTACACATCACTGTACATGCACAGCAGGCATAAAAAAATGCTCTTCTCTTGCTAATCTGTCTTTTGTCAGTGTAATTCACAGACCCTCTGAAAGGAAACCTAAGAAAGGAAACCTAACAGCACCCTCTTCATGTATATCTGGATTCTCTATGCCCCTAATGTGTGAATCTCTCTTGCCAGTGTGACTTCTTTCTCCTCTCTCAGCCATCAGCCTCCATCAGCTAACCAGTATTTTTCTTATAGGCATTGAACAGTTTTTCTCATGATGCTTCGTCTTCACTTTAGAAGAAAGTTTTATAGTTTTCTTCTTTCTGTAAATTCCAAAACTAATTCACAGACTAGATGTCTTTTGGGAATAAGATGAGGGTAGACTAGGTCCACATAATTAGGTTCTTTCTTTGTGTACGTGTGTGTGTGAGAGAGAGAGAGGTGAACAGCTCTTAACTTCAGTGTCCTTATATTTAAAGATAGTTTACTGTCCCTTTTCTAGGTCAGAATAGAGTAATAACGTTTAATAGTACTCCAAAGACTTCTTAGACAACACTCAGTTCTTACCAAACTGTTTAGTAAGCTAAATGAAATGGCCCAGTACACAAGAGAGAGTGGCACTAAAATATTCATACAATGAAACTGAAGAGAGATTATTTTTTTAATCTATGTAATATATCAAAAAGTGGGATATGTCACTAGGAAAAGGACATAATCACTGTTACACATGCATAAACAGAACCCCCGAGAACTCAGAATTTGCTTTGAGACCATTTAAAGTGTAGATATGGAACTGGGTATGTAAAATGTCCTGGGAATTCCAAAAACTCACACAAAATAAAATACCTAAAATGTGAAGGTCTATCTTAGCAAGAGCTGGAAAGTTGGCTAGTTCCCCTACCTGGTACTTGATACCAAAGCAGAGGTGGAATGTTTCTACTTTGTATTCTGCTACTGAGCACCAAGCAAAACATTCCACCATCTTACTCTCTAAGTTGCTCCAAAGACCATGGAGAGAGTACCGAAGCTGTCTGACCTATAAATTTTACTGTTCACAGTGTGGCCCACAGCTTGAGAGCCATACAAAATCTCAGACCATATATTAAAAAAAAAAAAAAAAAGAAAAAAAGAAAAAGTTTCCTGATCAAAATCTCAGACCCCCATTCCTTCTGTTGAACTAGAATTTTCATCCTAACAAAATCCCTCATGTAGCTGATATGCACATTCATGTATAAGAAGTAACTTAACCTAAGTAACCTAAAGAGCTTCTAATGCATGAATAAAAGTAAAAAAACAAAAAACAAAAAATAAAGACACTTCTACCTCCAAATTTTGTTGATAGAATAACCTCCTTCTTACCATGAACAAGAACTAAAGAAGGATTTGCTGGAAATAGAGTGTAATTCAAAAACAATTCATCAGGGGCGCCTGGGTGGCGCAGTCGGCTAAGCGTCCGACTTCAGCCAGGTCACGATCTCATGGTCCGTGAGTTCGAGCCCCGCATCAGGCTCTGGGCTGCTAGCTCAGAGCCTGGAGCCTGTTTCCGATTCTGTGTCTCCCTCTCTCTCTGCTCCTTCCCCGTTCATGCTCTGTCTCTCTCTGTCCCAAAAATAAATAAACGTTGAAAAAAAAAATTAAAAAAAAAAAAAAAACAATTCATCAGGAGCTTCCAGGGTTAGCCAGCCTACCAGTATTCCCATAACCCCTGTCTCTACTGGGTAATTTAAATCCCCATGGCAACCCTACTGTCCAGAGGCAGATATCTCATCGTGAAGGACCAAATCAAAGTTCAATAACCAAACTAAAGCTCTGAATAACGCAGAGCCAAACTTCATTACTCTTTCTCTAGAATCACAAACGTGGAGCTTTGGCAAACAGCTCCTATGGAACTAGGAAGGGAAAATACCATGAGGCAGCGTGGCAGCGGCTGAGAATTGAATGAGAAGACTTGCTTGCTAATGGCTCTTCTTAGTGAAACCACTACTAGGAGCTGAGGGAACACACACATTTGGCAAACAGATGGAGGGAGGGAAACGGCATCTCCCTTTGTGAATTCAGTACCAGTTGATTCATTAGGCAGAACTGCCAACGCTGAAAATAAACACAGCCTCTGGTTACAAAAGTATAACTGCAGCTTACCAAACAACAGTTAAAAAAAAAGGTAGTAGATGCAGTTGGCTGTTGGATTTTCTTTTTCTTTCTTTCTTTCTTTTTTTTTTTTTTTTCAGTGGGGGGAGGGTTTTAAAGCAAAATCCACAATCAACCCAAAGGCTCTAAGTATTTGAACAGCTGCAGATCGCTCAGCTTATCCAGCCCAAATGCTTCCAAGTCCTCCCCGAGTAGGCAACCAAAACAGAATGAAAGTAGCATATTTTGCCTCCAAAACAACAACAGTTTCGATTCTGGCCAACTTCAAATCTGAAAGAGGAGTAGAACCTAACATCGTACAGCTTGATAAACTGTAAACAAATCTAACAAAGCAGCAGTGAACAGGTAAGTCCAAAATCACATGAAGCACGTGCTAGAGAACGTGTGACGTGTCACCTGGGTGCTGAGCCATGCCAGGATTGCTTGTGTGGGGAAAAACTGGGAAGGCCTCTGATGGGGCCAAAAAATCAGTGGGTGTCCTATGAAGCTTAAACTGTCCCTGAACTATTTTAAACTCTGCAAACTGAAGAAAATGATAGCAGTGCAAATGCTCTTGTCCATAGAAATGCAAATTGTGTCCACTGGGATGCAACTGATTATTGTCCTGTGGATATTGACCAGTTTGTCAGCTTCGCACCTATTGGTACACTCATTTTAGCATCCCTTGTTTGCCTAAGGATACAGTTCTTAGTATTCCCCTTGGAACCTGTTATAACGTCTCCCCATTCCCTTATTAGTGAGATAAATGAAATCTTTGACACATGCTCTTTTCATATTTGTATGAGAGTCAAGATTTTACCCATTTTTTATTTATTTAAATTGCTGTTTTTATTTTTTTAACTGTGATATAACACTGTGTAAGTTTCAGGTGTACATGTTGGTCTGATACACATATACACTGCAGTAGGATTACCACAGTTGTGTTAGCTAACACCTCTATCCATAATTATCATTTCTCATTTCTTTTGTGTGGTGACAATATTTAAAATCCAGTTTCCTAGAAACTTTGAAGTTTAAAACTTGAATATTAAAGCAATAATATTGTCTGTAATCACCGTGCTGTGTATTAGATCTCCATTACCTGGTTTTTAAAATCATCCTTTAATGCCCTGGTCAGTTCTAGTTTGTACTTGCTATCCTGTAGACTTTTTAAAAGAGTACCCACCCCTTCCCTCTGAAAGTGTCACAGCTACGATAACATGTGCTCTCTGTATTTTATGGACTTTGAGGAGACAGTAAACCAGTAAGGTTAATAAGTGATATATGTTTATACCCATTATTATTCATAACGTGTTCCGATGAGCCACAGAACACAAATGAGATTGTACACCAATGAAAAGAACACAAAAATGCTGTGAAACGACATGGTCCAATATGGGAGACAATGAACTAACGGCAAAACACATGTAATTTTGATAGACTGATAAGATACTGATTTCCGGGCAATAGACTAATCTGGGGAAGACACTTTTTAAAACCCATTTGTCCTAATTAGAGTGGCCTCATTTCTTCCATAAAACCTTAAAAGATGACGAGAAGGCATCCTGCTTACCCCAAAACTGACGCTTAGCCAAACACCTTTATGTGTTACTTATCTATTCAATTTTATGCTTGAAACTGGATTTTGTGAGTTTTGCCATGTGTCATTTCATTTAAATTGCAATTTTAAAGACATACAAGAGAAAAAAATTAAAGGTGAGTCAGTTAATTAAAAATACAAATGTAAGAAAAAGAACAACCCATATTGTTCAGATAATCACAGAAAGAGAAATAGTTCTTCTTGTCTGTGCATAGTCAAAGATGACACACTAGGTCGGGACACATGACATTAATTACAATAATAGCCTATTATTTGAGTGTCCAGCCTGTTCCAGGTGCTCTTCCGAACTCTTTCTTTGTGTTAACTCAATAAAAATTCTATGAATTAGGTGCCAATAGTATCTCCATT